CGCAGCTACAGAAGACATCCGACACACTCAGGGGAGCCAACGGTTTGCCACTACGAATCTACGGAAAGTTCCATGCCGCTTTCGTGGTCGTTGACAACCGAGGAAAGGCTCTTCCCGGGCAAGGGGTATGTCATGTTTCTGATGACGATCTGCTCGGAATCACCTATATTGAGCAAATTCCGGATTTCAACTTGGTCTTGAAAAGATTCAACGTCCGGAAGGTTCAGACGCTTAACCACGACGCGCTCCAGACCACCCGATCACAAAGCTGAGACGTGATTTCGCGAGTGTCTTCGAACATGGACTTGGATGCTGCCTGAAGGCTGAGGCAACCCTCCAAACCAGTCCCATATGCTTATCTACCTGCTTCAGTTTCACCTACCATCCGCAGTCATATAAACCGATGGGTGCACTGTGTTGGCGCTTCGTTCCGCGCGTTCGTAGAAACTACGTCACGCCGTAGCCGCCGCACGCGGCGTGTCAGCTCACGATCTTTGACAAACGTCGCAGTTGTCAGTGGAGTATACGAATTGCGTTGGTCGACGGCAGTTAGTCTAAAGTGAAGACAACTCGGACTAGTGCAAATCATTCGATCTAGTAACCTAGTTTTGACGGACGCGCGGAACGGACCTTCCTCATCGTGTAGACGTTATTCCCATGACTGTTCATGTGACCCCCTTGCTTTATCTCTCCAAATCCACTATCTTTGCGCTCACGTGTTTCACTGCACACAGGCTTCCCCTAGGAGTTTGGAGAAGACAGCAAAATCGAAGATATGAAGTTGTTGGGTGACGAACTTTACAATTAAGGAATAATCTTTGCAATGCAAACATGAATTTTCACACAAAAATTTGAAAACTTGATTTTTTAAAGGTCGCCGCTCTCGGAGATGGTTCGCAATACGGATGCAACCTCGATACACGAAAGGATTCAGGGTAGCAACTGGTTTTGAGATACGCTTGTATCTAAATCAGAAACTGAATAAATCTTATCGAACGGTCATAGGTTTCTCAATAAATCGATCTATTGAACAGAACAAGGGGTACGTGAATTAGAGAAGCACTGTATTGTCCCTCATTAATTAATCAGTAAAACAGACTTTTTCTTGACCCCCGCCGATCCGATCCTTTCTTGAGCCGTCTTGCTCGAGCATTGCATCGGTTGATCATTCTCGCATTTCAACGGAAAAAATAACAATTTCAAGAAGTCTACCCAGACGTAAGATTTGGAGAAATGAAGAGACAGGCTTCATATGAGCAGTGTTTGGAAAAAGAGCTTCACGATGCGCCCAATTTCACCCCGATATGGGTTAGTTGAACCTACCCCTCCCTTCTCTTTCAAATGTCGCTTTAGAAGGCTTTGTTCCTAGTCTATCAGTATCATTCTTCAGGACAATCCTAAATTCATGATATTATGTACGTGGAAAAAGAAACGAATTATGACAAAAGTTTGAAAGCAAACTTTTTCCCACTGATCACCACAACATTGGTCCAAATATTTCAGTGCTAACAATAAGATATCGTTTACGATAGATCCATCAGAGTATGTATGTTATTCCGGTGTAGTTGGAACAAATTTTTGATTTTCTCTCTCACACCTTTTTAGGGACCCATCTTTGCAAATAGATATAGCGAGTTCTCAGAGCAATAGCTTCTTCCTACCGCAGAATCTCTTATCTCACCGTAGCCTGTACCTCTTTAACTGAACATTTGTCCACCCTCCATGATGACACTCTCCATGGATTACGAGCCGCATCTGGCCATTTTCATACCCAAGAAAGGAGTGTCGACCTTCTCCGCGGCCGTCTTTCTGACTCGGTATAAGCGGATCCCATTCTTCAGAACATTCCTTGAAGAAAACAGTTGGGCGCTGAGGGACTGGACACCATCACTGAACAGCCTGCTTTGGTAGCCTAGGAGTGTGTGCCTATGTTCTCAGCGTAGGATTGCTGCTTTATTCGGAATTTTGCTAGCTACACTACCTTGACGAACGCTTCTTCACCAGGTTCGGTATCTTCTCCCGTATTTATTCGAAGGCTCGACTGGGTAGACTTCTTGAAATTGTTATTTTTTTCCGTTGAAATGCGAGAATGATTAACCGATGCAATGCTCGAGCAAGACGGCTCAAGAAAGGATCGGATCGGCGGGGGTATCACGAAAAAGTCTGTTTTACTGATTAATTAATAAGGGACAATACAGTGCTTCTCTAATTCACGTACCCCTTGTTCTGTTCAATAGATCGATTTATTGAGAAACCTATGACCGTTTGATAAGATTTATTCAGTTTCTGATGTAGATTCAAGCGTATCTCAAAACCAGTTGCTCCCCTGAATCCTTTCGTGTATCGTGGTTGCATCCGTATTGCGAACCATCTTCGAGAGCGGCAACCTTTAAAAGTCAAGTTTTCAACTTTCTGTGTGAAAATTCATGTTTGCATTGCAAAGATTATTCCTTCATTGTGAAGTTCGTCATCCAACAACTTCATATCTTCGATTTTGCTGTCGTCTCCAAACTCCTCGGGATTGCAGCGTGGGCAGTGAAACACGTGAACGCAAGGATAGTGGATTTGGAGAAATAAAGCAAGGGGGTCACATGAACGGTCATGGGAATAGCATCTACACGATGAGGAAGGTCCGTTCCGCGCGTCCGTCGAAACTAGGTTACTAGATCGAATGATTTGCACTAGTCGGTTTAATATTCCTCTGACTTACCTCCCCTCTTCTCTTCCAAGTGTCTCTTCCGAAGAATTCGGACAGCTTCATCCCTTTTTCAAGAGTATTATTCTTTGGATAAGTCCTGAATTCATGATATTATGTACGTGTAAAAAGAAAGGAATTATGACAAGAGTTCAAGGACAAACTTTTGTCCATTGATCACCATCACTTTATTGTCCGGGTCTTTATCGTTTGGGTCCAAATATTCCAGTGCCTTTTGCTCCAGCTCATCACTCCACTTCTGTGAACGAACATCGCTACATTGATTCCTCTCAATTAAACCCACCAAGTAAACTCACTATATTTGGATTGTGTTGTCGGTTGAGCTGTTTGAAAGCTACTTTCGCGCTTCCTGAAGGTGATTTTGAGAGTTCGGAAGTTGTCTTGACTAATGTGATACCAAGATAAAGAGTGAGATGCGATACCTCGTCATTAATGAAAAGGAACTCACTGTCCATCTTCGCAAATTTTTTTTTGACTGCCGCTTAGCTCGGCTTGTTATACTTTGCCGTACAAACAGCTGCGCTGGCCCCATCATCTGTAAATAGATTAGGCCAGATAAAGGATAAAGTTCTTGGTGTTAATCAATCCCGTTTGAAGGATGCGCCCCCGCACTCGACTTCCATTCAGAATCGTAGTGGCGTAATGAGTGCGTATGTGGCCTATACAATGAGTTGCGGTGGCCAGCCGATGTACAAGGCAGTGCTTTTGTCCTCCCAGACGAGTCTGGTACCAATTCACCGACCCAGGTGCGATGGAAGGCTTGGTCGGCCTAGGCGAGCATCGATCCGGGATTCGACCGTGTGTGTGATATAGAGCGCCACTTGCCACTACACCACCAGAAAGATGTTGTTCTTCGTAATCATGTCAGGATCGAGTGTATCGGGAAAGTGTTCACCTACGGCTCTCATATTGCCTATCTTTTTTATCTTCGAATCCGAGTTCTTGACTTGCGAAGCACTCCCAAATAATTCCTAAGCAATTGATAAACGCGACGATAGGAAGCGATTGTCTGCTGAACACTACAATTAGCTTTGACTTGATGTTCCTTCATATTAACTAGTGTCATTCCACCGCAGTACGCGATACGAAAGTCTCACAAGGATGGCGATTCAAGAAGAAAATGACGTCATGCCCTGTTGATGGGTCGTGGTTGACGGCGCAGTCTCGCTTGTCCTATCGTCTCCAAACTTAAGCAACCATTCGCTATCGCTGGAACTGACGTGAGTGACTTGTTGAAATCCCTATTTAGTTTGTAGCTGGTCCAAGTTGTTGTTTTTCTTATAGGCTGGTCTGCGTGAAGCTTGATCGGTAACAGTTCGAAGTTTCATAACGCTTTGATGTCTCTGAGAGCAACGGATCTGTCGAAACGTCAGGCAAGACCAATTTTCACCATTGGAAAACATTCGACACAAAAGCATCGATTGCTTGCGATATAGTGTAGATGACTGCACGACGCGTGTAAAATTCGGTTCGTTCAGGATCAGAATTGCGGAAGAAAACAAGATAGTTACCACTTCAGAGATCAGCCAATAGCAGAGTAGTGCTTGCGATACTCAAGCCATTCTGAGCAACTCAGACTAACTAACAGTTGCTTTTGTGATTTCGGTTTAATCTCTCTCATTTACAAAGCACAAAGTTGGTGTGTGTCGCTTTGCAAGTTTGTAGGTGCGTCGGTGTTTCGGTTTGTCGGTCTGTCCGTCCGCAAAACTTATGATTACGATAGAGGCAGCGATATGGGAAATCTTTCTGTAATTCTACACTTCTTTCTTTTATATATAAGGCAGTAACTTGGTGGGCAGTTGATGGAGTAGAGTGGGTACTGCGGAGTCAAGTGATGTGGAGTAAAGTGGGTACATCAGAATTGTGATTTCGATCTGTACCACATCGTGGTAGATATGTCTTTGCAAAAGTCGGAGGTCATACCTCTGCTTTTTTTAAACACAATTTCAGGTGAGGTAGGTCATTTGAATATTTAGCTCATACCCCATCCTAACACGAGGTAATCATCCCACCCCCCGCCACTCCTCCCTACTTAGGCTTGCTTAGCTTGAAACCATATTCTTCCGCCTAGAACCGTTTCTAAGTACAGGTCAGGTCAGCTAATCCGAATGGTTGAAAATAGAAACAGGCTGCCATGAACTAGGACCGTGAACTAGGCTCATCCTTGTACACCGACTATATGTATGTATGTTCGACTATATGTTGGACAGAACGGTGCATGATATCTCATGCAATTTCCGTGTTCCTTTTTAACAGCCCAACTATCACATTCACAATAGCAACGAAATGTTTATTTAAATCTAAATCTTCTGAGAAGACAGCAGAAAGCTGATTGTTGCGATAGAGGTAACTCGTTGATTCACGGCATCTAAAAACAGCTTCAGTCAATAAAAAAAATAGCACAATCAGTATGAAGCAAATTTCCCTTCAGAATTTCCACAATCACCCATGTATCAAACACTTGGAATTCAGTTAAAAAACACAGCACTTCTGATGCTACAGTCCTCAACTGCATTCGTTCATATTTTTTTTACGAGTGTAGAAGTCGTTTGAAATATGTCTGTCAAGAATTCTGGTCATGTCCGTCCCAAATTTTTCTAGCATGTCCTAGAAAATTCGATGTAACTGAGAGAAATCTTGTGAGAATTCTTCAACACGGCGCATATCACGTCCGGATTCCTCTTTCATTCTTATTAGACCGCGTAAATTCTTTATTCGACAGTTAATTCTTCATTACGGCTTCGTTCCTGGCTACTGCATTGCTGAAACTCATCGGAGCTTGTGTCAAATATTTGGAATTAAAGTCCGTTACAAGCTGTTCCGTTCCCACCTCGTTCTAAGCTCCGAAGCCGGAAACAAGAGGGTCGAAGATGAGTTAGGTTCTGGTCTACCGACTGCAATATCAGAAAGTCTACGGATACGTTGTGCACAGGAGTGGGTAGTGTCCTTGTTGAATCTAGCAGTAGCATTACTAGTCGAGACAACTTATTTCGGCTATGACCCCAACGGTAATGACTAATCGTTGCTCTGTTGACTTAACACAATGTTGCAGGAGAGAGTATAGAACTGAGAAGAGAAAATGCAGGCGTCAGCTGCGCAATGGCTGCTTTCATAGTCCGCCTGCCGGCCGGCCGGCGGACTAGGAAAGCAGCTAATCACGAAAGAGCCACAAAATTGATCGAAAATCTCAGTAACGAAGTCTAAGAATTGTAAACATGAGAAAACCCAAAGATCAGTGTGTTCGAACTCCTACCGTAACTTCACAGAAACGTTATATTGAAATCGCAGGATGGTCATAGACAACGCACCTCAGCCTACGACACGGCTTTGTTTCGAATTCACATTTTTAATTTCCGAACTTACCCCGCATCGAAGCTGGTATCAGAGTATAAAATCACGGGGAAGTGCAAAAAGTGCCCGCCTACATGCGCTTGTCCCAGAGTAGAGAACGAAAGCGGCTATGAACAAACGAGAAAGAACGCCTTGTTGATTCGTGGGTTAGTTGTTCGCCGCATTTCCCCTCATAGGCTTATCTAGTGGAATTCCGTGTTCAACCATGCCGAGCTACTGAGCTTTCGTTTCTTCCATCTTGCGTACTTCGTTTTGAGAGCTTTCCTTTGCAAAGCCAATTTCCTTGATTATGTCGATGCATGGTAGTGAGCAAAGTAATTTTGTAGTATACAAGCATCACATTGCTAAGCCACTCGGCACATGCACTAGGCATACACATACACATTTACGTAGCCTATAGGGAGGTCAAGATCGATCAATCGGCGGCTGTTCTCACTAAAACACTTTTATAGTTCCCGATCATATCGAATTAACACTCTCCTACAATAATGCGGGAATAATCAAGAGTGAAGCTATTTTCTTCCACGAAAACTCCATTAAAGAACAGCATGGTGTTACAAAAGCGATTGGAGAGGAGCTTTTGTAATTTTTTCATAAAACATAGACTCACTAAAGCCATATTGAAATCAGTGGTATATCTGCTCTTGTGGTTATGTTCGGCCGGTGGCGTTCTTCCAGGAGTCGGAGACAGCGCTTCTCTTGCCGTAAGATCCTCAGCATCAGATGTCTGTGAATTTTCAGTCCGGACTGGGGATCGTGCTTCTCTAGCAGTAACCACTGCTGATTCCTCAGCTTTTGTCACATCAAACGACCCAGGTTTCTTGGGAGAACCTGGTTCCCTTGAAGTAGACACATCGGACGAGTCGTCGCTGCGAGCAGTCACCACATCCAATTCGTCCAAGTTGAAAACACTGAACGCTTGCGCAATAGCCAGGGATTCACTGAAACAAATCAAAAATTACTTTTCATTTCAACAATCCGACAGTCGAGACCACAGATTGATGTGTGCTTAGTTAGGGTTGAACATGGATTTGCTCATGCGCTCACGCAGAAATATTTTTGTACTACGGAGCATGAACTGCAGAAATACAACGCTTGCTTCCACGTTCGGTCTTTTTGGAACCTGGGCATGTTGCGTAATGTTTTACACTGTTTTGCCGTACAGGTTTGTTATGGTAGTGACCGCTTTGGTTGACGTTTCGAAGAAATCGCCGTCTTCAGTTGAAAGCAGTTCGGAGCTGCTGATCAGTTGTTTACCCGACCAAGCTCACATACCCGTTAGCCCAGATACAACAGCTCCCAGAAACTCGAACACCGATAGATCCCAACCGGCAAACCAACCTTCTGTGGTTCCACCAACACTGCCGTCCCACTCGACTTTGTGAACAGACCAATGAGACACCATTGACGGTCGTTGGATAAGAGTTACGCGGTGTTTTCAGAGCCCATAAAAAGGAATGAATGGCAGAAATTCGCCTGTTATGGCGTTCCGGTGGGATCTCTCTAGCGGATGTGCAACGCCTACAAGCACCGATCTCATTTTCGTGGGCTGGAACTTCAAAATCAAAATCACTGCTCGATGTTCTTCTAGTCGATGCTCCCCAAGTGGCGTATAGAGGCTTTCACACTTTGTACCTGCTAAATGTTTCTTGACACGTATACCTAACAACCTTCCGTCTCACCAATATATGTTTATTTTGTCACAGGCTGAACGTTGGTGCACTGTCCCTCACTCTGTGAAGGCCCCGACTTTTCCAAACGGCCTTTTCCAAACGGAAGGAAAAGCAGTTATATGTAGAACACGCACGATCCTAAAGCCTAATGAGGATAAGAAGGTGTTTGATATTGTCCGCTGGTAGGTTTACCAAGACAATTATATTTGCCGGAACCGCTCGTGCAATGCATTGTCAGATTTCTGCGCTGACTTTACCCGATTCGAATGGAAGCCAAAAATGCACGCACTCTCTCGGTTTCTGATATACGACTACCTACCGAGGGTGTCAAGCAATACATCCATCACTGCGTTGATGTGATAACCGGCATCAGTGTACCAACAGTTCATAAGGGGCATGCTATGGCTGGCCTTCCTATCTGCTCATGAAACTCATAGCTATGACCGGCGCTAGCCGCTCCCTCGCTTTTGGGAGAAGTACTGCCCGCTCCACTTGAAAATATTACAATTAAGTCATTCTTTGACCAGAGCCATAGCGTGGACCTTGCTCAATCCAGTCATTCCACGGAAAAGGCGTTCCTCACACAATATCACAAGCTGAACGCTTTGTGGGTACCATTCGGAAAGATAGCAAAATTAGATAGAATGTTGATAATAAGATTGAAGTTGGAAACACCCTGGTGCTCGGCTTTCTATAGCCTGATTAAATTGTCCAACGGAGGTGACAACAAGCTAGGGTTTACAAAATTAGACCCATTACCAGCTGTGTACGAGGACCAGCGAACCGTATTTCCTGGTTCCTCAACAAAATTGTGGGTCAATCACTCCGATACGTTTGATGTAACTGCGCCCTATACGAACAAATGTCAACAAAAACGAAGCTCTCCAGGCGGTCTCCGAAATGCTAGGCGAGCATGAAACAGAAGTGTAACGTTGGAATTGAGCAAGGTTCCCATTATGATCCTGGTAAAGAAGTGCCTTGAGTGTAATATTTTCAAGTGTAGCGGGCAGTACTTCTCCCAAGCCGAAGACTTATGGATCAGCGGCTAGCACCGGTCCTAGCTATCTGTTACATGAACAGGAGAGAAAGGTCAGTTATCGCGCCCCTGTCCATTGTGTACTGTCGGCACATCGATGACTGCTACGTAATTACCTCAACGGAGCAAGAGATGGATGAGCTGTTTAACATCCTCAACCGACAGTCGCAGTTTATCAGGTTCACGAGGGAGATTTCGCACGAAGGCTGGCTTCCTTATCTTAGCTCGAAGGACATCTCACTCTATCAAAGTCTGTTCACGCGCAGTAGTTCGTAAAATGTACAGAACGGTTCGAAATTACGCAGGCCCCACAAAATTGACACGAGGAGCACAGCAAAAACAAACGGGTAGTCCAATCTCTCCTTGGAGGGTCAACAATGCGTTCCGACTCTGTGAGAGGAAGGAGTGTAGCGCGGAATAAGCTGAGCGAGCCTACTGGTATAATGGTTTTGAAGCTTGAGAGAATGTAACACAGCCTCTTTGGAGGCGAAGTGGCTTTCTTCATTTGTCAGGAGAGCGCGTTGGTGTGGTTATTACCTTACTGCGGCGAAACTATCACAATACATTACACAACACTATTAACCCTTTTAGTTGCTGTAGTTTTGGCAAGTACTTATGTTTATTAACTCATGTGTGCCGTATCTTTACAATTCCCCAGTCATAATGATAATCCATTTGAAGTGTTACCTCTTAGCTTTGGATAGCTCCTCTTTCTTGCAGGATTCAGTCTGAAAAAGACGTTAGAAAAGCGATATTTGATGTATTCAGTGTCATGTCTTTCATGTCTCGCATGTTTCGCTAAGATTCCACCATTAGGCTTTAACTCCAGTTCAGTAAGTTTCGTCTTGGTATCATTCTTGGTGTCATTGTGATCGAATAGTCAGAAATTGCACGGAAATGTCTGCTTATATGGCTAATCCATTGTGATACTGGGTCGTGCTCAAGATAACCCAAGGTCGCAAATAGCTTCTGAATGACATACAAACAATTATTCTTATCAGGATGTAGATTCAACTTTCTGTTCAACAACGAGAAAGCGCAGGCGCTAACCCTTTTCGA